TACCTTTTTAAATTATTGACTTTCCAAATCACTTAAAAAATAGAGGCACAGGAAGACAAACGAAATGATGACACTGTTCAGGAGGGAGCCTCACTAACAGACATAAACATTTTTATTGTTGTTGAACCTGCTGTTTGAATTAAATACCAGTAAAGCCTGGGACAAAAAGACACTCTATTTGGATTCTGTCACTAACTTTATTTTCTTAGGTTAGTCATCTAATCTTTCTAGTCTCAGTTTCCTATTCTGAGAAACTGAGTAAATATCAGTTTAGTGAAAGAATTAAATGAAATAAAAATCCTGAAAGCATTTTTTTTTAAATAGGGACATTCTTCTATAGGTATGAGATATAATTCTGTTAATTTTACTGTAGTCTGGAAATAACTGATGACCCTTTTAATGTGAGTACTATTCTCTTATTATATTTTTAACTAAGTCAAAGCTTAATAATCTCTCCACCAAAGATTTTTCTTTGTCCTGTGACAATTTGGATTAAATTGTCAATTTAAAATGATTACATGTTAGAAAATATGAAGACAAGAGATATCTCAATACTTTAGAATAATAGGATTTTTAAAAATTCTTGGATATTAGGTTGAACTTAACAAGTGCCCTGAAGGCAAATGCATCTTTTAAACTAATTATCTGTACTGTGTATTCTATTTAACATTAAAATGATACTGATTAAATAAAATCAATCACATTCCTCTTTAGTCACACCTCACATTTGATTAAATACAAACATACAGTTCCTGTATTAATTCTTATTAAAAATATATCACATTTAGAATTATACACTGATGATATTTTTTAAAAAAAAACACGAAAACATTTACTCGGCTCATTCTTGTTATTTAAAAATCATATACTGAAAGATAAAAATGGAGTAATATAATATAATATCTGAATTAGTTTTCTAACAAATTGGCTTCGTTTTCATTTACTTAGATATCATGGTTTTCTTATTGTAACTCAGGGAGAAGAGAGTGGTGGGCATGCTAATTTAATATATACCCATTGCTCATATATCTTAACTAGTGGCCCTGTGCCCAAAATTCGTGCACAATAAAAGGAAATTAATTAGAGGCAATATTTTAATATTGCTATTTGCTCTTTCTCTGTAACAGAAGTGTCAGAGATGAAAGTAAGTTAGTAAAATGTATATGAACAAAGGCATATTCATGTTCCAGGTCAGGGACACAGGCAGGCAGTGTCACATCAGCGCTGGGTGGGGATGCACACAGGCAGTGTCACGTCCCAGGTCAGGGACATAGGCGGGCAGTGTGTCAGGGACACACACATGCAACATGATGTCAGCGCTGGGCAGGCCTGCATGTGTCTTGGCTGGTGGCTGCTTCCATCTGGGGCCACCCCAGGCCTGGCCATGCAGAGGCCCTCCTGGTGATGGCAGTCCCTGCCCACCTGCTCCTGCTGTGCAGGCCTCCTGCTGAGCTGTCCTGACATTAAGGGCATGCTGGCTAATTTGCATATTCCTCTCTTATTATATAGGATTATAAGTGAGCTCAAATGGAGTTTTATCACCCTTATTCTTGGAGTGCATTTCCAGTGTTGCTGTCAGACAGCGTCGGAGTGTTGCTAAAGAAACTTCTCAAAGCTGGTTGCTTTCTGTGTGACTTATTTTTAAAGCTGAGCCCTCAGTTTTGCTTGATCCTGTTATTCATCCTTAGCCAACTGCTTTCCCATTCCCAGAGGAGTAGTGACAAACTCTTTACTATTTCACTACTTTCTTCTTCTCCTTCTTCTTCTTCTTCTTCTTCTTCTTCTTCTTCTTCTTCTTCTTCTTCTTCTTCTTCTTCCTCCTCCTCCTCCTCCTCCTCCTCTCTCTCTCTCCCTCTCTCCCTCTCTCCCTCTCTCCCTCTCTCCCTCTCTCCCTCTCTCCCTCTCTCCCTCTCTCCCTCTCTCCCTCTCTCCCTCTCTCCCTCTCTCCCTCTCTCCCTCTCTCTCTCTCTCTCTCTCTCTCTCTCTCTCTCTCTCTCTCTCTCTCTCTCTCTCTCTCTGTGTCAGCCTCATTTGCTCTCAGTAGATAGCCCACATTTCCACTGCTCTGAGAAGGAAGAAACCTGCTACCATGATAATCTGTAAATCACTAATTCTCTACACAAGTGCTAGGAAAGTGGTGACTAGGGTACAATTTCATCCCATGGTGTATTTTGGGAGGATGGTGATTCCTTAAGATGAGATTTTTATTATCTAACATGGCATAGTCTTTGCTTTATCTTTAAAATGTCTTTCATAGTCTTTTTGGAATGGAAGGTTGGTTGGTAGTAGAGGTGAGTGGAAGGGTCTATTTAAAAATTTTGCATTGTGCTTGGTTGTTATTCTGACAACTGTAATCTTTTCCCTTGGTTTTTCCTTGCCTTGTTCTGTGCAAACATATGTATATTTAATATAAACTCTTCCCAGGGTCGCATGCATCTGAAGGTCAAATGATGGGTGTCTTAGTTTGGTTGCTTGAGCATATCCAGGTTTCTTCTTGGTCCATGGCATTGGTTAGGTAAGGATTCATAGGCTAAGGTAATTAATAAAGATTTGAAGGAAAAAAAGACATTTATATATTATAATAGAGATTTGAATATGCATTCATATCCTAAAAGTGTTTATTCATTTGGCTCAGTGGATAGAGCATCAGTCTGCGGACCGAAGGGTCTCGGGTTTGATTCCAGTCAAGGGCATGTACACTGGTTGCAGACACATCCCCAGTAGGAGTGTGCAGGAGGCAGCTGATAGATGTTTCTCTCTCATCGATGTTTTCTAACTCTCTATCCCTCTCCCTTCCTCTCTGTAAAAAATCAATAAAATATATATTTTTAAAAAGTGTTTATTCAGATCTAAGTTTTAATCAAATGCTGAGAAAGGAGAGTAGCAGGCTGACATGTTGAAACTAGTACATATATTACCTCCACCATCCATTGCCCGATGTGCATGTAGGTGGACTTGGACTCATTAAGTCAAGAATATTACTCAAATCAAAAAGCTTTCAACGAAAGTTCTTTCAATCCTTTTGAGAAATAACAACAGTACTTCCACAGGGTTCTCTTGTTAATGGAATAGTTAAACTAAGTTTATCCTCCAGTTTATCCTTCCTTTGTGTTCCTGGACATCTTAATTTTGTCTAGGATGGTTCTAGACCCTTCCTCCTTCTGTTCCACTTTCGAGTGCATTGGATCCTTCTAATCCATTCCTATACTGAACAGTTCTGAAGCCCTCTAAGGCCTCATTTACATCAGAAACGTTTATTCTTTTGGTTCTTGCTGTTTCTCTGAAGTTCTATCTGGTAAGAGTATCAACTGGTAACTGTGTGCTGAGATTTTTCAGACCTATTTTGGAGCTCTAGCCAAACTCCTCCTCACATAGCTTGTTGGTCCTGAGAAGAAAATGGAATATACTCCCATTCCCTCTTTTTTAGGGACACTTGGCTTTTAAATACACACAGACACACACACACACACACACACACACAAACACACACACACACATATACACACACACACATATGATTTCAGAGAGAAAGGGAGAGGGAGAGAAATAATGGAAACATCAATGATGAGAAAGAATTGATCAGCTGTCTCCTGTACGGCCCCCTACTGGATGGGGATCAAGCCAGGAACCCGGGCTTGTATCCTGATTGGGAATCAAATCATGACCTTCTGGTTCATAGACTGTTGTTCAACCACTGAGTCATCCCAGCCAGGAGGAACACCTACCATGTTCCTCCGAAAATAAGACATCCTCCAAAAATAAGACCTACTTACAGGTTTTCTTCTGAGTGAAACAAAGGCATCCCCTGAAAATAAGGCCCCCCCCCCAGGCTAAACATGAGAGATTTTTTCCACTGATTCTGAAAGAAATGAGTCACAAGAAATTCACCAGGAAATTCAGGAATTGGATTGTTATGATGATGTTCCAAAAGATGATGACATGATTGTCATTTAGAATAAATGAGTAAATTCTTGATATTGTAGGATTCACAGTTTGTCTGGTTTGTGTTGACAACTACCATACTACCGTACCGTATACAGGTAATAAATTTCCTTTATTTTCATTTAACAATAAATGTGTACCGTATTCTTCTTCATGGAAAAATAAGATATCCCCTGAAAATAAGACCTAGCGCATCTTTGGGAGCAAAAATTAATATAAGACACTGTCTTATTTTCGGGGAAACAGGGTAGCTTCTAATCCAACCCTCCTATTCTCCCACCCTCACCACACACAGTATTGGACACCTTTATCACATATTGTATCTATTCTTCCAATTTTGCTCTAAGTCCCCCAGGATATAGACTTTTGGAATTCGATAACCTTTGATCTGTTTCTTGCCAGAAGCAAACCTTTGCAGTGTGATTCAGAAAAGGAGGGGGAATGGTCATTGAAGACACACTGCCATGAAAACTAGCTTTATTGTATTCAACCTCATTAAAAAAAATTACTTTTAACTAAAATGTTGCTTCTTATTTGATTGATTATATTTTTGTTTTTACTGATTAATATTTTTTTCTTATTTCCAGAGAATCACAAAATCAAAACAACAGCATAAACTATATCTACATAAAAAAGACACTGAGTATTTTAGGAAGGAATGAGAGTTGGAGTGGAAAAAGGAAAAGGGGGCTGGGTAAACAGGCAACTTCAAAAATTAGTTGGGATTGTTTATAAAAGGTAACCTGGAGATGAATTCTAATTCTCAAATACATCATTGTTGCTGCAGGGACATGGTGAAGCTGGCTAATGATATTGATCAGTCTACTTTAAGAGGATGACATTCTATTTGGGACAAGTAAGCTGACTATAAGCTGACTCTCTGTTAGGGCATTCCTTGTTTTGTGAAAATATATTTATTTAGCGAATGAATGTAAATTATGATAACAAATGTATTTCGTGTTTATTAATGTTTTTTTTTTTCCACAGGAGAATAGTGGTGTAAGAACCTTCACTGATATTTGTTTCCAGTTTTAATATGAATTTCTCTTTTTCAACAGAACCTGCCCACTTCAGCAGTTTCAGTCCCTGAGGTAAGTAAGCACAAAAGGTTTTCACATTTGCAATTTGAGTTCTTTTATACATCTTATATTGTTCAAAAGAGCAATGTGACTCGTGTCAGGCACCTATTACTAAGAATTTGTATATTCTATTTTTCTCCTATCCTCAGGGATCTTTAAATTTTCATGATGAGATAGGCTTGAAGCATTTTCAATCTACATTTGTGACAAACATTAGATAAGCAAGTAGTTATGTGAAACAAAGTAGAGCATACCTGTTTTAAACTTACTAATGACGCTGACACCGGTTTGGCTCAGTGGTAGAGCATCGGTCTGTGGACTGAAAGGTTCCAGGTTCAATTCTGGGCAAGGGCATGTACATTGGTTGTGGGCACATCCCTGGTGGGGTTGTGCAAGAGGCAGCTGGTCGATGTTTCTCTTTCATTGATGTTTCTAGCTTTCTATCCCTCTCCCTTCCTCTCTTTAAAAAGTCAATAAAATATATTTAAAAAAATAAACTTACTAATGACATACAACACTACGTTATATATCTGAAAAATGACTGCCACGTATGGACTGCCAATTTTTTGCCAGCACGTCACATTTTCTCAGTTTATCATCACATGAAACTTTTCACTTGTTAGGTGTGTTAAGTGCTGAGTTAGAGAAAGTAAATAACTTGCCTGAAGATGCAGAGTCTTTGCTATTTTTGAAATGAAATCGTTTTTCTGGGCAGAGAACTGTTCCAATCCCACAGAAGGGTCACAATAATCAAAGGTGCAGCTGGGCAGCTGTCAGTAAGTGGGAGATCCTAACCCTTGTAAGTCCCAACGATATTATGACGATCCAAGTGTCCCCCTGGGTTAAAATTCTAGAGTTTCTGGGAGATCCTTGCGGCCCAGCTCTAGTGGTCGAATGGGCTGGGTCTCGCTTCAGTCAACTGGTGCAACAGCAGGGAAAGCAAGTTGCAGGATTCCTTTGAAGGAGGCTGTTGGCAGCCAGGCAGCCCTCCCCTTCTCTGTGGCTTTGCACCCATGGAGGTGCTTTGCTGCTGCCTGTCTCTCACGCTGAGATTGGACAAAGAAAGAAAGCCCTGTGCTCCAGGTAATCATCATTTGCTGCTTGCCGTTTGTGACTGATCGATCCCAGCAGGCGGAGGATTGTGGTAAACATCCCTTTTGTGAAAGCAGTTTTCGGTCATGAACAAATACGAAAAACATCTGAGAATCAGCGTGATACTGAAAAAGATTTTTTTAGAACACATATTTAAAGTGGGGTCTTTTTTTTTTTTTTTTTTTAATCTCATTTGTTTCATTGTTCTGTGTTTTCTGTGAATGGTCTTCGCAGCTTTTCTCCTGTGTGCATGATGGTGATTATTCTTTGGAGTTATAATACAATAAATCCCCCAGTTAAGATCTCTTGTGCTACTTGTAGAGTCCAAGGATCACAAAACATTGAATTCTGCATTTACAATGTCTACATGGCAAACACAAAGGGTTGATATTTGAAAAATGCTGAAATATCAATAGCTGTGTTTTATATATAGTTATACGTTCTATATTCCTTTATAGTTTTGGGGGAGTTCGGGTGGCTCTTTCCCATGTTTGAATAATTTCTATCGATCACAGCAATAATTTTCCAACTCTTTTATATCTGGGATAATTTATCTGGCACAACAAAATCTGTCTTCATTATAACACATTTGTTTTGTTATTTAGGGCCCCAAAACAGAGAACAAAATCCCGAAGGTTAAGTGATGAGCACTGCCCCCTGGTATCAGAGAGCTATTTTATTCTGAATAGTGATGCACAATGATGTCCATGAGCTTTTCCTGACAGTTTTTAGCAACTGCAACTTTGGAAGTAACTCAGATATCCTAATGGAACTCGGATAGCCAGGGTCAATTAACCCTCAAAACAGATCAGTGAGATGTTTGTGGACAGCAGATTTTGAAACATGCCCCTCCCACGCCGCTTCCTGCCCCTCATATAAAATAGGACAGAAGTAAATATTTTCTCAGTGGAAATATAAAAAGTATCCAGCTCCCCTCCTGTTAGTTTGTGCTGCTTAAATAAAATATACCGAATATCTCAGAGAGAGTTCTACAAAATTTGGAAATAAACATAAAACAAATGAGTATAATAAAAAGAAAGCCCTGGGGAAAATGAAATGGTTCTGAGTCTCTTCAGTTGGAAAATTTTCAACTTGATTAATTCCCCAAATTCAACCCAGTAAGCATTTCCCACCCAAACAAAGAAAGCACTTGGTTTTCTGAGTATGTACGTGTGTAAAAAATGTTTACCACTTTAGTATTATCTGGATGATACAGAGGGTTTTTAAACTTGTTACATACCTCTTTCTTGTAATTGTAGATTGCAAAAATGACATTTTATAAATTGAACATTTAATTTAGGGTTTTTAAAATTTTGTTCATATACATTGTGGGGGCAAAAGTAGGTTTATACTTGTGAGTATCTGAAACAGAGTTTATTCTTGTATTAATTATTACTAACGGCCCAGTGCATGAAATTTGTACATGGGGGTGTGTGTCCCTCAGCCTGGCCTGCATCCTCTCCAATCCAGGACCGTTCGGAGGATGTCTAACTGCCGTTTTAGGCCCGAATGCCACCAGCTGCCCTCCCTTTCCTGCAGGCCTGTTCGCCCCCAACTACCCTCCCCTGTAGGTCTGGTCGCCCCTAACTGCCCTCTCCTGCTGGCCTGATTGCCCACAACTGCCCTATCCTACTGGCCATCTGTGGCAGACATCTTGTGACCACAGGGTGGCGGCCATCTTGTGTGAGAGCATGACAGTCTATTTGCATATTACCTATTTATTATATAGGATTGCATTATTTTTTATGCAAACAACTATAAATCTGCTTTTGCCCCACCCTGTATTTTATAATTGTTAAAGCATATATTTAGTCTTAATCACAATTTACTCAGAGGGATGATGCCCTGAAGGGACATCAAGCCATTTAATCAATTGCTATGTGCTGGTTGGAGAAATTTCCTTAACTCTATGCATAGCCAAGGATAAAATAATGCTAATAGATGGTATGGTAGCTCTATACAGACACACATGTCTTAACTTTCCAGAACTACATATATAAATAGAAAGGTCACAAATATTTACTTCTGATGAACCAACTCAAATTATATTTAATTCCCATAACCTAAGTACGTTAGAAATTTAATATTAATTAAATTATGGGCAAATATAAGTTATAAAGGTATGCTAGAATATAATCCTATATTATGTACATCTTTATCATTGTTTATGAAATAATTAGCCTTCGTGTTTCTGAATAACTACTGATAGAATCATAAGTGGTCTCATAGAGATAATACGATTTAGTTTTCTCTCACATTCTTTCTTTAACTGGTATTTTGATCATGCATCTCTCATGTATATTGAGCCACTTGAAAGTAACTGCTTTTGTATTAGTCACTAGTAATTCGGGCCCAAATTTGTAGCCATGAAAATCTGTATGTTGTCCCTTCTTGTAAAATGAGTCAACATATTTTTTAAACAGATTTGTTGTTATTATAGGAAAGACAAGCAACAGTGAAAAAGGAAATGGGTGGTTCCCAGCAGCCAAACAAAGCAACTGACAAGAACAAAATGCAAAGAGCCAACTCAGTCACTGTGGATGGACAAGGCCTGCAGGTAACATTTTTAAAGCATACATTTTAGTAGCTTTCATATTTGTTACCACTGTGCTTTTAGACGGGCATATGTTAAGGTGTCAGCGCATTTCCTTAATGTGCAGAATAGCTCAGAAGATGTCTTCAGAAAAATCTTTATTAATTTATTAACACATCAGTATTATAGTTGATTAACAGAGTGACATTCTGGTAGATTAATCATTTGTGATGTTATGTCCATTTAAGTATGTTTCACACTCAGCTAGGCACGTCTCAATAGGAAAGGAAAATATACAGTTTATGCTAGGCACTATAGTAATATTTATGTGTATTAAGTGAATTTGCTCTAGAGTATATGAGATAAATATTATTCTTAATTTTCCTCAATAATGACATGATAAATATAATTATCTACTACTTTTGAAATGAGCATATTGGTGTTCAAAATTATGTCCAGGACCTCATAGTCATTGTTAAAGCTAAGTTTTGAATGAGGGTCATCTGAATTTATTATGTGTTTTAACTCTAAGGTACCCCAACTCATTGGCTATGAAATTTTAACAGGTATATAAATGCTAAATTCCTGACCATCTTTTTCTTCCATTTACTTTTGCAGATTTAAAAATAAAAATCATAATGTATTAGAATGATAACTTTTTTCCTCTCAGTATCCTAAGATTTGAATAATCAGACCATACTTTACCCAAACTTTAATCTAAAATTAAATGTGTGTGCAGTGTTTTAGAAGCTTTACACTGACATGTCTGTATAAGTTGCATTTTTTATTAAAAAATAATTATAAATATTCTATCGTATTCCAACTAAATCGTCATATTAAAAAACAGTAGGTAATTAACATTTTATGTCGATGAGTTTCATCCCACTATCCAGACAATAACTTTTCAAGCTTTTTATGGCATATAAAAATATCAGGAAAAGTTGTCAAGAAGCAAAGTATAAATATCAACCCTTATAAAACAGTGACAAATAAGTATAACTTAATGCAATCATCATTTTAATATTTTGAATTTAAAAAATATTAGTTCATAAGTAGGTAAATAGACTCTTTCACATCAGTAAAATGTAGAAAAATATGATACACATAGGTATTAACAGAATTTTGGGGATAACTTTTAAAAAGGTAAAATCCTAAAATTTTGGAGAGCTATTTCACGCAAAATGGTAAAATAATTAATTTTCATGTGGTAATCAATTCTAAAATAAAATGTTTGTTTATTTATCAGAAAAAGTAAATAAATGTTCAAGAAAATTACTTTTTGTGAGTTTTAAAAAATTATATCATTAAAAATATTGAGTTGCTTTCCAGTTTGCATATAACTCAGTGACAGAAGAGATCTACACTGCCTAAAGAAGACTATTAATCATAGTTAAGCACATTCATCTTACTTCTTTCCAGCTAACCAGCATAATGATCAGGATTATTATTTCTAATTAGAGGAAGTAATAGATCATGTATAACCTTAGGATGAGTCTCATTAATTAACCCGAGTCCTAGGGGACTTCAAATAGAGGTGGTTAGGCACTCTGTCTTTGTCATCACCCACACCACAAGTTTACTTTTAGTGCCTATGATCAAGTTTAAGGGATACTGCAACTTCTTAGCATGCAGGAGCTGTGAAGATGCAGATGACTATCCCCATGGGAACCAATAAATAGAAAACAAGAACAATTGTTTAAAGTGTATTAGACAAAAGTTACCTGGTCCCTAATTATTCTTTGAGAAAATTTTCAAGTAAAAGGATCACTTGAAGATCAAAGAAGTGTAGTTTATAATATTCTTAACACAAGACAAAGAGGGGAACTTTATACTGAAATACCTAAAAGCAAACCAATGTTGTCCCTACCAAACTGCCTCACTCTCCTTACTCTTTCCTATTTGCAGTATTTCCTTTTTATAATCAACATAAGGCTAAACTTAACAACACCTATGCACTATACACAACTATATGGTGTATATATAAAAATTAATTCCGTTTCTTTGATTGTTGCAGCTTTTGTATGTGTGTGTATATGTGTGTGTATACTGTGTTTTTCCTGCTTAGGGCTCAAGCCTGTTGATTCTTTTATAATCAGTTCTTCATTGTCATTTATAATTAGTTCTTCATTATTCTTAACTGTGTCCAAAAAAATTTGTGTATTACAACAACTTTGAGTTCTACAGCTTTTAAAGTGAATCTGTCTCCATACATATAATTGTACTAGTTTATAAGTGATATGAAACAATGGAGAGAAAAAAGCTAAGAAGTGCCAGGACAAAGAGTTAGAGTTGTCTGTAATTTTATGTAAGATGGCTAGATTAGAAGTGAGACTTCAGGGATACCTCAAAAATGATTGATTCATGCAATTGAAAAGATGGAGAAGGATCTCCGTGAATAAGGTTTGGAGAGAAATTTCTGATGCTGTTAGACATCTAAATGGAGATGTCAAGTACACAGACAGATATGTGAATCTACAATTTAGGAGAGAAGACAGATATGAATTTGGAAATGAAAGACATTTTGATGGAACTTAAAGCCATCATTTAAAATGAGGTCACTAGGGGAACAGTGGTTGACCAGGGGTTTCAAATCAGCCTGATCCTAAAGCCACATTCTTTAATATTTACTCTATGAAATTGCCTTTCTATGTGTGTGAATAAGATTTCCTCTGATTAGCTCTATTCTCTATAGAGAATAATCTAGTATGAAATGTTTCCTTATGAAATGTCTTTCACACCTAATTTATAATTATACATCAAGATTTTAAGTACTACACATGATACAAAATATTCCTTGAATACTTTTTCCTGTTATTAATGTTTTCTAGATTATTTTGCATTACCCAATCTTATCTTTTCTTAAACACTGTTTTGAGAAGCATCAGGTTCTGTAGAGATGCCTCAAGTCCAGTGATAGTTGATGTGAAACTGAGAGTTCAGGGAATTTTTTTTTACACTTTAGACAGAGTAACTCACCTTTCATGTCTTTTATATAATCTTCCATTTTAAATTATTTCAAATGCTATATAAATATTTACTTACAAGAGCAAATAGTTTTAGGATAAGCACTTTTTTAATATATTCATATTTTTGTCTTCACCCTCTCATTCCACCAAAATCTTTAACAAAACAAATGTGATATTTTAGGATGTCAATAAATCCGTTTTCAAAATAACTGAGTTGTACATCTTATTTCAGAATGATTGAGCAAAAAAGAAAACTCATGGACATAGACAATTTGTTGTAGAAGTATGCTCCTGAAACCTGTATAATTTTGTTAACCAGTATCTCCCCAATATATTCAATACAAAGAAAAACAAGTTAAACACATTAAAATAATTTTTCAAAGGAAAAATTGTTCAAATATAAAAAATTAACTTTTTTTCATGTTAAAGTGTATATAAGATGTAGTTACTTCAAAAAAGAATTGGTAAAGTTGAATATAAAATTGACATATTAGTGTTGTCTGATCCTGATTCCATTCAAGTTTTACTAGTTGTCTCAGTAATGGCTTTTATAACAAAAGGAGCTAGTCTAGAATCATATTATTGTCTTGATTTTGAAGTTGTGTTATATTTATGTAAGAAAATATTCTTGTTTGTTGATAATCCTAAAGTAAGCAAAAGTGATGAAAAATCATTTTGGCAACATACTCTGTAAGTTTTCATGAAAAAAGTTTTTACAGTGTTTGCACATTTTCTGTAAATTTGAAATTGTTTCAAAATATAAAACATAAAAAGATTATTGTAAGATATTTCCACAAAACATAATTTATAGAAATCAGATATACTTACTTTCAGCAACTAATAAAACTGTATTTCTTTAGTATATTTAAATTTCTTTAAGTATATAAGATTTGCATCACAATACAAATGAGCTCCCTTAGACTGAATTCTATATTCTAGAAGTTAGTCCTTACCTGATTTAGATAGCTCTGGAAATCAAGATCTGGAATCCTATATAATAAAAGGCTAATAAGCAAATTGACTGAGCAGCTGAATGACTGGTTGCTATGACACACACTGACCACTAGGGGGCAGACATTCAATACAGGAGCTTCCCCCAGGTGGTCAGTGCACTCCCAAGGCAGGGGCGGGAGGGACTGCCACTCAGCCAGAAGCTAGGCTCACAGCTGGCAAGCTCAGTGGTGGTGGAAGGATCCTCTCCCACCTCCGCAGCAGTGCAAAGTTCCCCCCAGACTATCAAAGGGTACAGAATGGCCTGAGGTACTCCCCTCCCCCCCTCAGGGCACACATGTTATGCACCAGGCCTCTAATAAAATATAGTAATCATACTAGTTGAAATATTACATCTAATAATACCTACATTCCCCATATCTCAGACTATTAAGTTACATTACAAAAGGATTAACTGAAAATTTCCAACATTTAATTATGAGAAAATAAAATAATGAGAATAAGATACCATAAAACATAGAGTTTATTCATATACTTTGAAATCAAATTTCTGATGTTATTCACTCAGGGACTAGAAATAATTACAAATTTGATGAAGGATAAAGTTTCTCAGCCTGGTTCCATCTGTATGCAGGTCTTTCCCCCTTTGGATCTTGTATTTTTACATCAATTATATTAGGTTCTGCAGAATTTAACACCATTAAATGATCCCTTAACACCAGTCTTAATAGTGCTGATATTTAATCACCTATCACTTCTTAAATGCAGGTACATCAGTTTGGGTGTCTTATCTGTTAACATCATTATCAAAGGGGGACTATTCCACAGTGCCTGAGAACTTACAAATATCTTAAGTTTGTGGTATTTTACTTTAATATAGTTTTGTTTTGAAACCTAATCTTATTTAACAAAGAGGTAATGTGCAAATTGACCATCACTCCAACGCTGGCCCCATGTAGACACAAGATGGCTGCCACAAGATGGCCTTCAGGGGAGGGCAGTTGTGGGCAATCAGGCTGGCAGGGAAGGACAGTTAGGGGCAACCAGGCTTGCAAGGGAAGGCAGTTCGGGGTGACCAGGCCTACAGGGAAGGGGTCTGGGACTGCGAGAGGGCGTAGCCTGAGCTGAGGGCCTGGCCCCTTCTTCCCCTCCCAGTGCAGTAATGCTGTGCACCAGGCCTCTAGCAGTCTCATATAATGGTAAGCTGAATGTGGAGTTTGTGGAGGATCATCCCAATGTATATTTGGGTTTAGATTTAATGATTTGCTCAAAATTTGTTTCTTTACCTTGAGATTTTCACCTCTACTTAAAAATAAGGAGTGAGAATTCAGATTAAATGCAGAAATCAACTAAAACCCACATCTGGTTGCATTTCTCTTTTTCCTGTGAAATCTTTAGGGGTGTTATCTGATTTTATAACAGGAGGAAAAATAAAGGTTTGTTCAGTTTTTCTTCCTTTTGGTTTTTAGTCGGGGAAGAATGGAATGTGTTACATTCTAGTAGCACCATAGCTTGACCTGCAGTACTTCTATACGTTAATTGAATGAGCACATTTACGAGTAGCTCAGAGAGACAGACTGGAAAGTTACTACAGATCCAGCTCATTCATCTCATCTTCCTACTGAATTAGAAACAAATCAGGAACAAAAAGCCTTTTCCTCTTTTCAAAGGAAAATAAAACAGAGTAAATTGTAATGAAAACTAGTTTGATAACAGTAGAACAATTATGAATATCTTACACAACTTTCTCATATAGCTAATGTGAATATTTTAACATTTTTACCTTGCCTGTGATCATTAGAAAAAAACTCATTTCACTTACGAATGGAAGAGAAATGTGTTGGCAGAACTTTTCGTCTTAGATTGTTTAACCCAACAGGAAGGACGGACATGACATGGTTGTTTTTGTCATATTAGATTTTTAAGGATACCTTCTAGGATAGAAATAAAAACAAGTGACACCTTGTATCTATTTTGAAAATGTACGTAAATGATCTAAAAGTTTTATCTTAATATTGAGAGGATTCCATTAGTTGTAAATGTTTATTAAAATGCTGTTTTGTCAAACTGTATTTAAATGGGAGTTATATTGGTAGGGGTAAATACTTTTAATACATTACTTCTTAACACCGAAGTTATGTAAAATCCAAGAGTTCTCCTTTACCATAGTATCAAAAATAATGTAACCCCCCCCCCCCAATAAAATGCCATCACCTTACCTGTGTAAATTTCTCTTCCTGGGATATGTCACTGCTAAATATGTTTCTCTGTCTGTTTATATTGTCTGTTTCCCCACTAGAACATAAAATCTAGTAGGGCCCCTTTTCTGTTCCACCGAGAAATGAGAAGTGAAGGAAGCAGTATAGGGCAAACCATAGGGACTCGGCCAATTTAATGGACTTTAGATTACCAAAAAGTCCAGCCTACGTGGAGCTGGAGCCTCCAAGCAGGAAAACAAAGCTCTGTGGAAACATTTTGAGAAATGGGACTTTTAAGCGGATAGGTGCCTTAAACCATCTTATTCACAAATGGTTGGGAAGATGGACTCCACACATGCCACAAAGTACAAGTCTTCCATAAAAGTATATATAATATGATTATTTTTTATTCTAATACTAGAGGCCCAGTGCATGAATTCACGCACCAGTGGGGTCCCTCTGTCCTGGCCTGTGCCCTCTCACAATCCAGAACTGCTGTTTTGGCCTGATCCCTGTAGGCCAGGCTGAGGGGTCCATGCACCAGGCCTCTAGTATGCATGTAAGATCTTTGGTTAATCTCTTCCCGCCCTCCCCTCCCACCTTCCCTCTGAGATTCATCAGTCTGTTCCATATTTCCATGAATGTGAGTTGAGTACCTGCCCCCTGGTGGTCAGTGCGCATCATAGCTAAGGGGTGAACGGTTGGCCAGTTGCAATTGCTTAGGCTTTTATTCTTAAATGTGGATACCTAGATACACCGATCTATTTCGTTATTCAGTTAATCACTGTGTGTATTTCCCCCAGTATACTCTATTCTGGCTGGTTTACTCATTGCTCCACAAATTGCACCTTTTGTTTTAATCTTATAGTTATTCACAGTTACTCCCTTCTCAGAGCTGCCTTTCTCTCCTATACCTACCTCGCTAGATCCTACCACTCTTTGTGGCGTGAACATTCCTGTTGATATGTATGTATCGAAAACACAGTGATTCACTGAATAACAGAATAGATTGGTGTATCTAGGTATCCACACTTAAGAATAAAAGAGCCACATTTTTGAATTTGCTAATTGGTATTCCATGACCTAGAACTAACAGTAATGTGTATGTATAAAAAACTTTTCTCCTAGATCACTCCAGTTCCTGGCACTCATCCACTTTTAGTTTTTGTAAACCCCAAAAGTGGTGGGAAGCAAGGAGAACGGTATGTTTTTTTCAAGTCATATTTCATGTCATATCTATGTAAATAGGTTAATTAAAATGGTGGTGTACAGTATTTAAAAACATTATTTCTCATAGTTTACTAATTGTGATGTGAAACAAGTAATGCTAGAATCTATCTGTAGTGTATTGGATATGACCTCTCCTTATTTTTACAATTGGAATTTTAAATTAATAATGTCCTTTTATACACATTTTTATCATAGCCCAGATATCTGAATTTTCTCTACCATACCTATCATTCCTAGCCTTTGATGGTCAGAATTCAGTAAGCCATTACCCAGTACTGAGGAACACAATTGATATCCAGCTTCTAGACAAAGATTATAAGATTTCCTATGTGTGCATTTAATAGAACATGATGCCATATTTCCCAAAGAAACACATACATTTAATATAAGTAAGGATGAGCTACATTTTCAGGTATTTCAATAGTTGGGCCAACAATACAAAAATGTCATTTTTTAATGGAATTAATGATTAATTCATAATTTTAATAAAAATTTGAAAATCACCTCATTGGGGAATAGATCTTATATCCTTCTAAAGAGTATTGGTATAAAAAATTATCTGGTTGTATCTGCCTTAATAATTTCTATAAGTTTTTACTAGTCTCAACCAAATAAGGAGCAATAAGAATAAAAAAACTAACACAAACATCATGACAATAAAACAGAAATTAGCTTTGAGGTTACCAAATAATGAAGTTCAAGTATTTCCATGAACTAAAATTTTACAAAGCAATTTCTTTTCTACTATTTAACTTTCAACTATATTTCAATGAAATGAAGAATATTCTTCACTTTTCAATCAACAAGATTTTATTTCTGTTTAATTTCTTTCCTTTTATCAATATTCAGATTCATGCCAATGCCACATGATAAATGTTGAAATGAGGATGTTTCCAATATAGGTGAGCTAGGAAAGTGAGGAGGTGAAATTATCTTTCTTAAAACTGTGAAGTCTTTGAAGAACTAGCTTTTGAATTGGTTTTGATATAAGTAAATATTTGCCAGTGAAAGAGGAAAGATTTGTGAAATGGCATGACATTTTTTAAGGAACCAGGAGATAGTCAGTGAGGTTAAAAATTAAGGAGGGGGAAGGACAAAATGAGACATAAACTATTCCAAATTTAATAAAAACATTTTATATTGTGAATAAATTCACTCTACCCTTTCATCTTAGAAATATCATAACTGTACTTAAACAGAAATATAGAAGAGGCCTAGCAAGGCCTAACTTTTACAGAACAGGTGAAAGAACGTGAAAGTCAGAGTTAAGCCAAATCTGACAGACTAGAGGCCCAGTGCATGAAATTTGTGCAAGAGTAGGCCTCTCTTACCCCCGCTGCCAACATCGGCTTCCCTCTGGTACCCAGGACCAGGGCTTCCCTCACAGCCCTGGCTTCATCCAGAAGGTCGTCTAAAAGGACGTCTGGTCTAACTAGCATATTATGCTTTTATTATTATAGATATTACTTAGGTACAGGATTGTCCACATCCAGTTCAGGTGCTGGGGAAAAAGAGAATGACTCTTAAAATCTTTGTTGAGAAACTAGGTAATCTGATTAATCAATATTTAGAATTTTAGGGTTCTTGCAGATTTGGAAATTGGGGAGTGGGGATAAGGCAGATATTACATAGTGAATTTAGAGAGTTTCTGCTAGCAAACATTATAGGAATGTGTTTGTAAAAATACATGGGTTGGCAAAAGTATGCATATAGTGTGAGTATGCAAATCAGAGTTTATTCTTGTATTATCATTTATTAATTATTGTATTATTCTCCAAATGGACAACTGTAAACTAACTTTTGCCCATCCTTATATATAGTAATATTGTACATGAATATCAAATTAATATAAAAACACTAATTTTTTTCCACTTTTTTTTTTTTTTGTCTAAAACTTCTAAGCATATGGGCAATATATCCACTTAGAAACATTTATCTTTCATTTGTTGTAAGAAGGTTGATTTCTTTCAGAAAAAAAAGAATTTTTTAATATGTGCTATTGAAATGTTTAGCAATTTTAAGACCTGAATGGTTGTTGATGTAAAATAATTAGGCAGATGTCACTTTCTTTGCTTGAATACATACATATGCACAATCCGATTTTGTAAGTGGAATAGATAGTGTTCAACTCTGTTAGGTTGGCTCAGTATCCTATAATTTTCATGAGGATCTGTTAAGAGAAGTTATTTAAGTAATTTTATACTGATAATTTAAAAATATTTATTTAAAATTTAATTAGCTAAATAATATTTAAACAGACAATAATGTTTTATATGCATATGCCTATATAGAATATAAATATCATTATTTCTATTTATAAACTATAATAGAGGCCCAGTGCACGAATTCATGCACAGGTGGTGGGGTCCAGCTGGCCTGGTCCCAATTGGGGCTGATCTGGGCCCGTCCTGTTGGGAGGAGGAGATGGCAGGAGGTTGGCTGGCTGGTCTGCCCTGCTTAGGGCCTGATCAGGGCCAGGTTGGCTAGAGGAAGGGGCCACAGGTGATTGGCCAGTGGGCCCGGCCCCCGATTGCTAATCTGGGGTCAGTAGCCAAGGGAGGGGCTGTGGAAAGTTGGCTGGTCAGCCCTGCCCCCTTTCAGGTTGGAGGGGTGCTATAAGGAGTGGGGCTGGCTGGGAGGAGGAGCTGTGGGCTGACCAGAGTGGTGGGGACCCATTATGGGCAGCCATGGGTAGGTGCTATAGGAGGTTGGCCTGCTGGCCTTACCCCTTATTGGGGTGGGGATTGCGATCAGGGGTGGGGCCAACCATGGGTAAGGGCCTGGGGGGGGGGGCGGGTGACCAGCCACCCCACTCCCCCATTAGGGTGGGAGAGGCTGATCAGGGGCAGGGCCAGTTGGGAAGAGGGGCAATGGGAGGTTGGCCAGCCAGCCCCATCCCTCGATCAGGTTGGTTCGTTGGCTGCAGTGGGCGTCATAACAACTGCTTGTTCCAGCTGTTCTGGCATTCAGGTTGCTGGCTTTTTATATATATAGATTGCTTTATAATGACTACTTAGCTTCATTTCCTAAATGAACCACTAGTTTCTATTAAGCTTTTATATTTTTAATTGTATTAATACAAAATTTATCAAATGTATGTAATTATAACCATATATATATATATATATGTATATATATATAATATTGAGAGGAGCTATTTATTTAAAATGTTGATATACCACTAATTTTTTTTTTCTTTCCTATTTTCATCTGTATAGAATTTACAGAAAATTCCAATATCTACTAAATCCTCGTCAGGTTTACAGTCTTGCTGGAAATGGACCAATGCCAGGGTAAGTTCAAGGATAATGTCATAACCATTGACTCATTTAACAAATTAATTAAATAAGCCTTCCATACCTAAAAATAATGTTATTTGAATACAGCAACTAGATCAGTATATAAAAAATGACAACATAGAATATCAACCACATAAAAAAAAGCAATGCAGATGCTGTTTTTCAAAATAGCCTGCTTCAAATATATTTTCCTCCCTTTTAAGTATTGTGAGGTAATATTAATACAAATGCTAATAATAATAATTTCACATTCAAATGCATACACACACACTAGGGTGCTTCAACAACTAAACCATTAGATGCTGAAAAACTATTCCCCTCATAAAATACAGCCTATAAATCTAAAGAGTAAAGAAAAGGCTAGTTAACAAAGAAGCAAAATCATAATATGATTTTATTAACTTAGTATTTTCAAAATCTAATGAGTATCATCTCTTTCTAGGTACTTTGTTGTTTATAGGTAAGATAAAATCATTTTTCAGCAGAAATCATATATTTTTGATGTCACAAATAGGACACTGAAATAAATTGTCCTTAATTTGGTCTCGTTAACGAATTAATGTCATCTTCTTCCACTGACCTGTTTTCTCTCTGTCAGCAGGAGAGCAAACATTAGACCAGGTGAGTGGAGAGAAGCTCTGTATAACCTCACACCAGCTTCTTCTTTTTTAAAAAAAAATATATTTTATTGATTTTGTACAGAGAGGAAGGGAGAGAGATAGAGAGTTAGAAACATCGATGAGAGAGAGTCATCGATCAGCTGCCTCTTGCACACCCCCTACTGGGGATATGCCCGCAACCAAGGTACATGCCCTTGACCGGAATCTAACCCAGGACCCTTCAGTCCTCAAGCCGACGCTCTATCCATTGAGCCAAACCGGTTTCGGCACAAGCTTCTTTTTTACAAACAGTTAGTACGATTAAAATACACTCCTAAGTTATTCCCACAAACTAGAAGTCAAATATTGAAATTATACTATTTTAAGTACTCAGAATAAAATTTTATACTAATGTTTCTATGTTACATAAATATCAGTGCAAAGCCATTATTAGCACAGGTCCCCATAATTACATTTATCTCTTTCTTGCCCTCCGTGTTACTGTCCTGGGCCCCTTTTCAAATGCCAGAGCAGTGATCTGTGGAAAATACCTGGTTTAAAGACAGGTTCACCACAAGCCTTTAGCTCAGAACAAGGCCATTGTCCAGCTCCAGACCTCAGAACCTATGGATCATGATCAGATTTTTGGGTAGATGAACTACACACAGGAAATCTTTATCTAAATAACAACAAACTGAAGTAAAGTCTTAATTTTAACAAATAAGCTCAGGCAGGATGGCTATTTTTCTCCTTTATTAATAGTCTTTGAACTTCAAAGAAGTAGGTCTTATTCTGCAAAAATTAGAAATTATGTACTAAAAAATTCAGTTATTCCAATGTCTCTGTCACTCCACCTAGACTGAGACATCTAGGATTTGCCCTGTGTTTCATAGTTGAATGCGATGCCTACTCTGCTAATCACAAGCCTTATAACTTAAACTCTCCGTGTCTTTATTATCTTTGTTGTAAGAGAAAAGTAGTAGCTGCTTTATGGGATAGCTCTGAAGTTAAATTGGATGATGCCTATAAAAATGTGATTATCATAATATGTCCTCAATTCATGTTATTTATTATCAATACTACATACAGGAATTAATTGATAACATAACCACTTTTTTAAGTATATGCATGCATATATTGATTTCTTAGAGGGAGATAGAGATAGAAACATCAATAATGGAGATAATCATTGATCAGCTGCTTCCTGCAGGCCACTTACATCTCATGATGTGCCCTGACAGGGAATTGACCCATGACCTCCTGGTTTATAGGTCAAACACTGAGCAATACCGGCCTGGCAACATGACCACTTTTTAGCTCTATGTAAATATATCGCTGTAACATTGCTTTGAGCTTTGATTTCTCATATTATATTTTTCTTCCTCTAAATATATACTACAGGTTGACTTTCACTCTTTTAATTTTAGGCATCCTATTGTCTTCCACTTTATTTGAATACTAGAGTCCCAATGTAAGAAATTCATGCAAGAGTAGGCCTTCCTTCCCCCGGCTGCCAGCACTGGCTTCGCCCTGGCACCCAGGACCCAGACTTCCCTCTGATACCTGGGACCTGGGCTTCCCTCTGGCCACTGGCAGGCAACTGGGATGGGCTTCCCTCGCAGCCCTGGCTTTGTCCAGAAGGTTGTCTGGAAGAACATCTGGAAGTATGTCTGGTCTAGTAACATATTATGTTTTTATTATTATAGAATTATTATAGATTGAAAAAAATTAAAGTAATATGTGTTCTTATAAAAATCGATACCACAATAAATATTATTTAGAAAGTAACCTAGAGGCACTACCACTGTGAATTGTTTGTATGTATACTCCTAGAACTTTTTCATAAAATGTAATGTATGTGTGTAATGTAGTAACATATAATATGTTCATACAAAATATATTCATATTACACATATATGTTGTAAAGATATATTTTTATATTATTTAGAATAGTTCTTTTTAAATACTTTTATTGTTTTCAGAGAGGAAGAGCGAGAGAGAAACATCAGTGATGAGAGAGAATCATTGATCAGCTGCCCCCTGCACACTCCTTCACCAGGGATGAAGCCCACAACCTAAGCATGTGCTTTAACCAGGAATCAAGCTGTGCCCTGCAGGTTCATAGGCTGATGCTCAACCACTGAGTCCCGGACAGAATAGTTCTCTTATTATATTCAAAAGCTAATGATAAGTATCAGTTACATTATTTTTTAAAGCTACACAATATTATTTAGTTTTGTTAGCCATTCTATTATTTTTAAGTATATTTTTATTGGTTTCAGTGAGAAAGAGAGAGGGAGAGAGACATAGAAACACCAATGATGAAAGAGAATCAGCAGTCGGCTACCTCTATTACTGGGGATCGAGTTGCAACTGGTGCATTGTCCATTTGCCCCCGTCAGGAATCGAACCATGATCTTCTGGTTCATAGGTCTACACTCAACCATTGAGCTACACTGGCCAGGCTAAGCATTTTATTATTGATAAGCATTTACCATGCCTATACATGTAAAATTACTGTAAACCCTGTTGATATCTATCAAATTACGTATGTTTTTTTAAAAGCATATTCAAATATATTCATTCAATCGATTGGCATAAGTAGAATTGTTTATTTGACAATATTTTCATTTTTTATTATATAAATTTCTGCCAAAATGCTATTCAAAGAGTAAGTACTAAATTACAATCCTAGCAGCAGTGTATAATGCTGATTTTCCACAACCTCCTTTAAACTGGCTGTCTTTAGCAATTTCTATTTTTGTCCAATGTGACAGGCAGTTCAATGACAATGAGCCAAAATAGGTAAACTGATAGTAGATGATCATTTCAGAATCGTTTAAGAATGATGATGTAGTAACCTATTCCTATAATTTAATTAGAAAGAATAATAGTTTACAGTGTAGTCGACACTAAAATAGAATATTTATGCAACAACTAGGTAAAAAGGGTAAAGATAGCTTAACAATAACAGCAAGGGTAATATATTCAGTGTATACTTATTCAAATGACTACCAGATGCCCCTAACAAGCACATTGAGCAAAATAGACGCTGTCTGCCCTCCTGTGTTTATGTTTTAGTAGAGGAAGGAAAATGAAACTAATAAAATATATGTTATGTCAATAGAAAAGGTGAACTTAGTGGGCACTGGCAGTGAGTATTCTGTTATTTTTTTAATAGGACAAGCAGGGAAGAACTCCCTGAGTGTAGACATGACAAAAAATATTAGATATAATATTTCTGTGGGTGAGTTAGGGAAATGGAAGGAGTAGCAAATATAGGTAATACTTCAATAAAGGAAAAATAATCACAGGAGTAATACAGAGTAGGGCAAAAGTAGGTTTATAGCTGTTCATATGGAAAATAATATAATACTTAATAAATGATACGAAAATAATCTGTTTTATGTACTTTCAACCTTAAACCTAATTTTGCCCCATCCTGTAATCTGTGAATAGTACAATGAAATTTATTTGCATATACATTTGGTTATATCTTAAAACAGTCAAATGAAGGAGATGTTAATTTCATCTTAAAGCTAAAAACATGCTTAGAATGATTAAATAATTCTCCAAGGCTACTTACTATTTAATGAATAAAAAACTAAGGAATGAATGAATCTAGAGAAAACAGCATGGATTAAGTGGATTAAGAAGATGAGACAGAGAGGTCAATTTATCAACCGACTTAGCAATCAATTTAAGGAGAGTAAGCTGGTCTGACAGTCACGTGGGGTTTATGTTTGGGGTAGGATGCTGCTGAAGAACCAATGATGACAATTTTTAAAGAAAACAAGAATGAATAAGAGATGACACATCATCATGGAATAGAAGAACAATGGTGAGTCAAATGGACAGTTAGGCTTTCACCAGAAACAATGAGCTCTGTGGTAAACTCTTATTCTGAAGAGCTTTTGTATGTTCAATGACAAAATATTTGAAAACTTAGGAGTTAGACAAATTGTTGTAGAAATATAACTGGGCTAGGAAGAATGAGAAAATATGATTTTCCCCAATAATTATTAAAGGAGACTGAGAAATTCATACTGAAATTTAACTTGCCGAAATTGATTTAGGGAAATTAGAAACAAAATTTTGTTCAATAATTATTAAGGAAATTAAAACAATTACATAAAATCTTTCTATTTAAAAAAATTAAAAAGGAAATCAAAGACTCACCAGAATAGTCTGTATACAAGTGCTACTTATTTTATGGAACTTTCAAAATTCTACAAATGCTTCCAAAAGTAGAAAATGAAGGCATACAGTGCAATTTAGTTTATGAGATATAATTTTGATAAAAATTAGAGATGGTAGTCTATTGTATTCATAAACTTATATGCAAAACTTCTAAACCAATTATCAAACCAGTTCCAATTCCCTATAAAATTATTAATAATATCCAATGTAGTACATGAAAGAATAATGATAATGCAGAAATATATAATTTTACTGACTTAATGGGATCATCCCTGTTAATATCTTAAAATATGCAGAAAAAATCATACTAATTCATAATAAAAGTTATGAAAGCAAGAATAGAAGAAAGCTTTATTAACCTTCTAAAATGAGTCATTCAGAGATGAAAAAGAAAATCCCTACAGCAGATAACACTCTAAAAAGAGAAACCCTAGAATTATCTCATTTAAAATTTGGAACAAGATATGGTGGTTACCTGTGGATATACCAATTCAACAATATATTGGTGCTGCAGATAGCACAATACAAGGAGAGAAATAGAAATCATAAGCATTAAAGATCACTAATGGGATCATTGTTATTAGCATATGAAACTGTTGTTTACATAGAAATCCAAATGAATTTATAAACAAAGTATAGGCAATATATAAAACAGGAGTAATGTGTCTGTTTAAAAGATTAATATATAAACGTCAAACATATTTGTATGCACCAGCAACAAAAACATTAAAATTAATTTTAAAGTACTATCATTGACACTTAGACTGTTTCCAAGTCTTAGCTCTTGTAAATTGTGCTGCTATAAACATAGAAATATATATATATTCTTTCTGATGGGTGATTCTGAATTCTTGGGATATATTCCTAGAAGTGAGATCACTGGGTGAAATGGTAGTTCTATTTTTAATTTTTTTGAGGAAACTCCAAATGGTTTTCTATGGAGGCTATACTAGTTTGCATTCCCTTTTCTCCACGTCCTCGACAACACTGTTTGTTTATTGATTTGCTGATAGTAGCCATTCAGCAGATGAGTAGATTAAAAAGCTGTGGTACATCTATATAATGGAATACTATCTATACTAATAAAAGGGTAATACGCTAATTAGACTAGAGAGACTGGATGTCCTTCTGGACATCCTTCTGGACAAAACTATGGTGATGGGGGCCAAGGCAGAGGTGATTAAGGGCAATCAGGCAGGCAGGGAAGAGTGGTTAGGGGCAGTCAGGCTGGCAGGGGAGAGCAGTTAGGAGCATGAGACAAGCAGGCAAAGGCAGTAAGGGGTGATCAGGCAGGCAGGCTGAGGTGGCTATGGGTGATCAGGCCGGCAAGAGAGAGCAGTTAGGGCTCATCAGGCCACCAGAAAACCTGTTAAAGGCATCAGGCAAGTAGGTAGAGGGGTTAGCACAATGCTCTCTAGGTCCATTTTTGCTGTTGCAAAGTAAATAACACCTAATAGTAAAAAGTTTTTTCTATTAGGTATTATTTATGCATGAGGTCAACAAAAAAACTCATGCATATATGCACAACCCATAGTCACAGACGATAAGGTGGTCAATATTCACAGTATAATAAACAAGGAAATACATGAAATTTTTATGTTCTAAATATTCATGGTTCTTATCAAGTATTTAATTTTATACATTTCTTTTTATGCATTATTTGTATTACTGTGACAAAATGTAATATTGGTGCTAATTTAAGTGAAAATATTCCTCATAATATGTAAAGAGTTTATAGGATAATGAATGAGAACTCAGTGGAAAAGGAGCAAGACTTTGAAGATGAAGTTCACTGAAGAAATCACATCTATTAAACCTAAAAATTATACTCAACCCATTAGTAAAGAGGGATATGTGATTTTACAGTCATTAGCATGATCCTCTCTTTTGCTATTAATAAAGAAATGTCACAAACTTGTTTATATGTCATGCTTCTGAGTTACAAGAAATGGACACCTACATCTATAATGGGAGCCATTGAGAGGGTCAGATGAACTTTTCCTTTCTAAAAGAATAGCCTTCAAAACATTCACATTCTCTTATAAATGTGCTTAAAATAATGTTAAGTACAATACCTACTTTTTTTTTTTGTAACAACGAAACAGTAGAAAGAGGTGGTTTAAAAGAACATAAAGATGCTTTAAGTCATGAAATGTACTACTTACATAATATATTCTCTTATCATGATGCAACACTGTGTACAGACACAGAAAGATATTTTGGAATTTTCTTTTTTTTTTTTAAATATGTTTTATTGATTTTTTTAGAGAGAGGAAGGGAGAGATATAGAGACTTAGAAACGTCGATGAGAGAGAAACATCAACCAACTGCCTCTTGCACACCCCCTACAGGGGATGTGCCCGCAACTCAGGTACATGCCCTTGACCGGAATCGAACCTGGGACCTTTCAGTCCGCAGACCGACGCTCTACCACTGAGCCAAACTGGTGTCGGCGATATTTTGGAATTTTCTAAGTGAAAAAAAAATGCACACAAATAAATCAACAAGACATATAGCATAATCCCATTTGTGTTAAAATATGCATATAATATAATTTATATGTTTTATATATACATATAAATAAACATACATGAAAATATTCTATTCTATTCTATTCTACTCTACTCTACTCTACTCTACTCTACTCTACTCTACTCTACTCTACTCTACTCTATTCTATTCTATTCTATTCTATTCTATTCTATTCTATTCTATTCTTACCAGTGGTTATCTCTAGGATAGGGGTGTCAAACTCAATCACAGAAGGGGCCAAAATCTAAAATCCAGCCTAAATCGCGGGCCGAATGGTTTACTGAACAGTCATAAACTGTCATTGTGATGGAAACGCAGCGGAGTGCAGTGATGACAGCGCAGTGTGGGCCACATTGCAAGGCCTGGCGGGACGGATTTGACCCGCGGGCCTTGTGTTTGACACATGTGCTCTAGGACAAGGGAAGTACAGAGATACATTCAAATATTTATGTCCTGTTTCAATTCTCTTATTGTAAGAAAATGGCATATATGATTAAATAAATGGCTTCATTACTTGCCTTCATTAACTCCTCAAAAGCAGGTTGCATTAATGGCATGCTTCATGTAGTAGCAACTGAAGCAGTGGGCATTTATTTTAGCTGACCCAGCAATTAGGCTTGAGTGTTTCTGGAAACCAACCATGGTAATCCAGGTCAAGATCATCCAAAGAATATATATGCATTCATATAAAATATGCATAGCCCAGAGACACAGACAATAATGTGGTGAATGCTTACAAGGGGGAAGGATGGAAGGTGGCAAAAGCTGTGTGTGTGTGTGTGTGTGTGTGTGTGTGTGTGTGTGTGGTGGGGGTGGAATGGGAGACATCTGTAAAAGAGTAATAAATAAACAAACAAATAAATAAATAAATAAATAATAAATGGAGAAGCTTACCTCCTATTTGCAGATTATAAGTCAGAAGGAAACACTGACACAGTTGGCTAGAACCTCAAAAGCAGCCTGTTCAGTTTCTCCCAGTAATGGAGAACCCAGAATCCTCTCAGAGACATATTCACTGACAAGATAGTCACATTAGTATAATTGTTCAAGAAAATTTTTGGTTAATAAGTATTATGACATGAAATACTGTAGCATATGTCACTTTGGATTATATAAACTGCCGATCACATCTGGGAGGTTTCTTACTTATAATTGTCATTTCCAATTTTTTAAACTTTAGAGTTCACTAAAAAAAGAATACATATTATAGAATCTAGTATATATAATTAAAATATATTTAGATTAAGACCTGTTAATACTTTTAGAATTATATTTTAAATAAGGATTTAATATTTTTTCAATAAAATCATTGAGATTTTACAGTTTTCAAGAAATAAAAATACTTTTAGTAGATGAAATCCTAATAGAAAAGTCCTAGTTTTAAATAATAATCATGTGCAATGACATGCTTATTTTTCAGGTTGAACTTTTTCCGTGATGTCTCTGACTTCAGAGTGTTGGCCTGTGGCGGAGATGGCACTGTGGGGTGGATTTTGGACTGCATAGGTAATGGAGACCCATATTTAACGTGGCTGGGGTGAGAGTGGTAACCTTAAATTCTGTGTCTTTTATTAATGCATTGATATGTTTGGATGCTGCAGAGATATAATTAGACATTTGGCATGTTGCACACTATTTACTGGTTTAATTTGTTATACTATATTATAAAATTTTAATTGACAGAAAACCTTACAAGTACATGGAAATACTCTCTTTCTAATCCATTTCTCATGGAATTGACTAAACCTGCAGACTTATTTTTTAAATGAGGTTCCATTTGTTTCTTTGTCCTAGGCAGGGAGCCAAAGGGGATCTTAGCATTTGTGATCACGTTTATGTCGGATAGATGTACTCATTTGGTGTAAGCATGAAAACTCAATACCTTGTCCTCTGTACACATTCCTCATTAATCAACTCTCTCTATATAAAACCCTAATATGCAAATAGACCGAATGGCAGAACAACCAAACAACTGGTTGCTGTGAGGTGCGCTGACCACCAGGGGGCGTGCGGAAAATGGCGGGCATTGGTCATGGTGGGATGGTGGAGCGGGTGAGCTGGAGGGCCAGACCAGGGTGGGGAACCATTTGCCGTCATCTGGGCGAGCCTCTGGTGGTGTTTGAAAATTGTTTGCTCCTGTGCTGCCAGTCCCACCTGGTGCTCCCACCTTCTGCTGGTGCCTGCCCCGATCACCCCTCAAGGCTTCTCCAACTCCCCCTTCTCTTGAGGGGCTATCAGGGCTAGCAGCCACCTCTTGCACCCACTGCTGGTGATAGCCCCATTCGTACATGCATCCAGGAGACTCTATGGCTCCAAGAAGTTAAAATATTGAGCAAAGTCTTTTAACTGTGAACTGACAGAACTGGGGTTAGAACCCACACTTTAAATTTATTTTATACTAGAGGCCCGGTGCACGGAATTCATGCAAGGGCCTTGATCCTGGCCCCTTCCTGCCTCGGCCTACGCACACTGAGGCTTTGTCCAGAACGTCTGGAAGGATGTTCAGTCTAATTAGCATATTATGCTTTTATTATTAGACATGGCATTCCTGTTCAAATTTTAAAAGCTTGATTTTTATAAGCAAACAAATCATATACATGATTGAGAAAAACTTTCTATATTCAGAAAAAATATGTATTTTGGATAGATGGTCAGCTGTCAGAACTGATTACTGCTCAGTAAAATAGATCATGAACTGGTCTTTATGGAAAGATAAATTTAATATAAATGTTCACTTCTTATTTCTCATTTCAGTTACTGCATGACCAATTCTTTTTTTAAAAAATAGGTCCTTTCACAGAAAGGAAAAAATTGATTCAAATAAATGTAACTATATGTATGAATTGAAGCAAACTTTTTAATAATCAGTGCAGGTGAGGATGTTCTACCTTTTTATACATGCGTAAATACTTAAATTATAAAAATAAATACAAGTTGTCAGTACACATTTGGTAAGCATCTAACGATTTTAATATAGTAACAATTAAAAAACAACAACAACCAGTAACTAGTATTAACATGCCATATTTAAGGAGAAAGCCAGGATTCAATAATTGCAAAAATTAAAGAGGTGCTCAAATAGTATTTGAGAACTTGTAAGAATTTTAGAGTGAAAAGAGTATGATATCATTGGTTTGTTTTAACCCTCAAAATCCAAGCTCTAGCTATAAACTCTGGTACATCCCTAAATAATCTATTTCCTCCCTATTCTTACACACTGCTGACTGAGTGACTGAGAAGGGAGAAAAAATAAAGTAACATGTGATTGTGAGATTCATTCAAAGCATATGATGATTCAGACAAATACATACGGGCTTTCACTGGCAGAGATCTCAGGGTTTATGAAGCTCCTATGTTGTTTACTCTGCCACAAGGCAGCCCCCTGGGTGGGCACCACACCGGCATTGTTGGCATTTTACCAGCTTTTAGAATTCAATGTTTTCAAAATATTTTATTCTTTAAAGTAAAATGTACCTTGAATTGATGTTGCAAAAAGACTTTATATAGGACCCTATCCCTCTCCTCTGGTGGCACCACGAATATATATGCCTGCACTATATATGCATACCTGAGATTTTTTTTTTTAAGATTGAAGTCTTTTATTACATTTTTCAATTATAGTTGACATTCAATACTAGTTCACATTTGTTTGCAGTGTCCAGCATGGTGGTTACACATTCATATAATTTATGAAGTGATCACCTCACGTAGTCTAGTACCCTCCTGGCACAATACATAGATGTTACAAAATTATTGACTGTGTTTCCTAAGCTGTATTTTACATCCCCAAGTTTATTTATAGCTACCAATTGGTACTTTTTAATCACTTAACTTTTTCCACCTCATCCCCCAATCTCCTCCTATCTGGCGACCATCAGTTTGTTCTCTGTACCTATGAGTCTGTTTCTATTTAATTTGTTTATTTATGTTGTTCTTTATATGCCATATGTAAGTGAAATCATATGGCATTTGTTTTTATCTAACTTATCTCAATGGAGTTAAACTCAACTTAAACCACAAATTTTAACTGGATTAGGATATTTACAAAGCTTTCCTCATGCAAGAGACTTGAAAATTCCTGTCACTTTATGAATAATGTTATTTTTGTGTGTCTTATAAATTGCTATAAATTCATAGAGATTTATCATAATTTATGACTGTATAAATCTACAAAATATAACTTTCTCTGCTTATCAGCACCTAGTGAAATGCTTTCATTTCATGCCAAACTATCTTTTTTACTGTTGTTCTATCTGTGATCAAAACTTTAATTTCTTTTATTTTTTCCACTCCACAGAAAAGGCTAATGTAGTCAAGCATCCCCCAGTTGCCATTCTGCCCCTCGGGACCGGTAATGATCTGGCAAGATGCCTGCGATGGGGAGGAGGTAAAACAGCTTTAACAACAATGAAAATCTTAGTAAAATAGAAATAGAGTATAGAGCACGCCCCCTTTCATACCCAGCGTTTCTTTATTGCATGACAACTGCCATGTCATTTTACCAAATATAATTGCCGTCGATATAGAGTATATGATTTTGAATGGTAGAAAAACAAATAGTGAACCGAGAGTTAGACTGTAAGTGTTGGGCTTCAGTGTGATACTATTTATAAACTTCAGTGGGCATGCAGACTTCCTGACCTCTGTGGTGTAGGGGTTTCTAATGTAAGAAACAAGATGGGCATGAATTAACTCTAAAGTAATATTCAGATTTTTAATTTCTGAGTTGTGTGCTACAGGGACAAACTAAGAAAAACATAGAAAGACTAATGAATGACTTGTCCAGGAATGAACATATATTTTGAAACCCACTTTACAGCAGGCAGTGTGTTCTGTACTGGGATGCAGGGTCAAGAATAGAAAATAAAGGCTGTATTCAAAAGGGTCTTAAATCCTAGTGGCACATCACGTCCTATGTAAACAGATAACCAGCATAATGAAAGGACTCAATCCCGCAATGACAAGATGACATACGGAGGATTGTAATGGAGGGATAATGACAGAACAATATGGACCTGGGAATGGACCTTTTAGGCAAAGGAACATTGAGTTCAAAGGACCAGTGAGGTAGGCAGCCAATTGACATATTTAAGGAACTCTAAGGGAAATAATATGTGTGGAACAGTGTGAAGAAGAGGAGCATACTTCAAGGTGAAGTCTTAAAATGTTTTCAAGTGTCATTAATAGGCTATAATTAACTGATGATACCAAAGTAAACCAGATTTTGCTAAATCATCAAGAATTAAATACTAAGTTTAGCATCTTAAACTCAGAGATGTTTGAAAAGTGTGTACTAAGACAGCATGCATCGGAAACCCATGGGGATCTAGTTAAAAATATAGTGACCTATCCTCACCCCAAATATGCTGAATAGAAATCTCTGGGGATGGGATCTAAGCAGATGGTTTTCTTTTTAAACAAACTCCCTAAGTTACTGATTTGTAACAAAATTTGAGAAGAATTGTATTTAGCTTAAGAATGATACACACTCAAACACATAAATATAGCTTTTGAATGTTCCCCTCAATATAATGTTTTTTTATATAGGTTATGAAGGTGAAAATCTGATGAAAATTCTAAAAGACATTGAAAACAGCACAGAAATCATGTTAGACAGGTGGATGTTTGAGGTCATCCCTAATGACAAAGATGAAAAAGGAGACCCAGTGCCTTACAGTATCATCAATAACTACTTTTCCATTGGCGTGGTAAGTTTTCCACTAACTGCTTTTTTTTACCAATCCTGGATAAATCACTGTCTATAAACCTTACATTATGAAGATTTACTGATTACAAATAATTTATTTTATCTTAGTGTCAGCAAAACACCTCTTCTAATGGGCAATAATAAAGATTATGAATTTATTTTGATAGATTTTAGCAATAGATAAATGTTCACTTGCTAAGGGAAAGAAACTTTTATTTTGTAATTAATTGGTTTAACCATTTGTGTTACTAAAGTGTAGGTTAGAATGGTTTATGATATGGGTTTAGTTATAAGTTTTAGTTCTGTTTTAGAGTATATTTAGTGAAAATATGAAAATAATTCATCAAATTGCATCCTATTTTCAGGTCTGCGTTATATTACCATAACCTACTATAGACATTATGTTTCATTTATGGTTAGGTCTGAAATCTAAAAATAAAATAAAAATGTTTCTACTATTGTCAAGTGTTTAACAAGTCAAAAGATTAACTTTTTATTTAATTACTTGAAAACCTTAGACTGAAAGTAAAATGTCATTTGGCATTTGAGTTATTAAAGTTTTAATTCTTAAGGAATGTAACAGTGATGTCAAATAATTATGAATTCTAAAATGTATATTGTCTACAGAATTTCATTTCATTTAATATGTTATGCAGTATTATCTTATGACATAGGCATGCGCATGAGCATGTGCACACACATACACACTCCACTAGGAGACTATACAAAGCATTGGTTGAGGCTATGGAATTATGAGTAAAGCCATTTGGGTAAGAGCTCTTTATATATATATATATTTACTATTTTTATAGATTTCAGAGAGGAAGGGAGAGGAAGAGGTAGAAACATCAAAGATGAGAGAGAATACTCTACTGGGGATCTAGCCAGCAACCTGGGCATGTGATCTAACCAGAATTTGAACCGAGACTTCGGTTGATACTTAACCACTGAGCAACACCAGCCAGGGATTAGCAAATATTTATATTCCATGTATCATTCATTTATCTGCATCATAATGATTTTTTTTCTCTCAGTTATAAATAATGATTATATATTTAAAAGCCTCAAATGATGATTAATAAAGACTAAATATACAATTATTACTAATATTATAAATGATTCTTAATACTTGAGGAAAATGTAATGCATCTTGATCCATAAAAGTCCTTCTACTTATATTTGATATTAATATAAAATTAATTTAACAGCTTTTTACTTGATATCAATATAATTTTTTTAGCTTTTAAAAGTAATAAGATTTACTGACTTTAAGTAAACCCTTTGATTATTTTAATAAGTCTATCAATTTTTAGACCATTTTTATCATTAAAACAAGAATCTTTATACTTATTTGCAGTAAATTCTGGTTCCTTTTCCAAGCTCCAAGCAATAATAATTCTTTCTGCCTCTAAGATTTGCCTTATATGGACACAATTTTATATCGAAGAAATTATACAACACAGTCTTTTGCATCTGGCATCTTTCATATCACGTTTTTGAGGTTTGCCAATATGAACCTCAAAAACTGTTTACTGTTTTCCTTTTTATTGCTGGGCAGTATCCCACTGTATAGATATTTCACATATGGCTTATACATTTACCAGTGGATGAACGTGTAAAGTGTTTCCAGTCTTTGTATATTATGAATAATGCTGTTCTTTTGAATCCTTTTGCTGAATTTTTTGTTTTGGCTGCAGTACTTTTTAACTCCAGAATTTTCATTTGATTCTCTTTATAATTTTTATATCTTCAGGAAATATTTTATATTTGAAGTCATCTTTGTGGTGTTTTCCTTTTTTTTTAAATGTGGTTTACTTTAGTTCTTTTTTTTTTTTCCATCTTTTCTCATGGTTTATTGGATGAGTTGTAATCACTCTTAATTTGGAGACAATTTTGTTCAACTCTGTGCAGTTGATGAGTGGGAAGTGACATGTTCAGCATTGAGGTTAAAAAGGAGGAGTGATAGAGAAGCTTGTTTCATTAGTCAGGATAAGTGATGTGAGCTGCTGCAACATGCTCAGATCTCAGTGGCTTGCATACAGAAAAGCTGGCTTTTATTGCTCACTCCAGTAAGGGTCTCCTCCATTCCGAGACACAGGGATACAGGCTTCATCAAACTAGTGATTCAACCACCTCAGTATATGGATTCCTAGATCAACCTGGCAAGGAAAAAAAAGAGCTGGTGTTTCACACAGGATGTTTTCAAGGGCAGAACTGAGAGTAGTTTACATCCCTTTTCCGGATGCCCTGGTGGGCACCCGATATTTACCTAATCTAATTGCAAGGTACATGGGAAAGCACATGGGATGTTAACTAAATGCTTACTCTGTTACTTTAGTTCTTATGACGTTTATAATAGCTATTTTAAATTCTTTGTCTGGTAAACCCAAAATATGGACATGATTAGAGAATTTGATAAAATTTTGGCCCCATCAGTGACATTGTTTTCCCCCCCCTCAAAGTACATGTCACACTGCTATTCCTCTGCATGTCTGACAGGTTTTGCTGGAAACTAGAGATTTTATTTTATATAAGGTATTGCGGGACTCTGGAATTAGATCCTTCCATACAGTTTCTAGTTGTTTCTGTGCTTCTTTAGTGACTTGCCTACACTAATTATGTAGCAACTTCCTGTGGTGTATGGATATGGATGCTTCAGTGTTTTGTGTGTTGTTGTTGTTTAATTTTTGTTTTTACTTTAATTCTGGCTTCCTAGAAATCACTCCTATTTAAACATGATTAACCAGAATTTGTACTGGAAAACATAGAGCCAGTAAGTGTTTATCCCTTGGCCATTGGATCTGGGTGTTCACTGGAAAGCACATAAAATCTTCAGGCACATAATCATTTGATTCAGCTTTTAATATCTCCTGGCCCTTCTTTTGTCTCTTCTGTCAATATACAACATCTCTCATGTAACCAAATCAATGTCAAAACAAGGGCCCTCTTTGGTCTTTCATGAACATGAATGCGGTTACACCTGCTTATGGCCTTTCAGACAGCAAGCGATTTGTGGAAATTTATCAAGGCCCATTAGGGCTGCCTCATTCTAAGATGTCCTGCTGAATTTCTGGCTAGTTGACTGGTTAGTTGCTTGCCCTAATCAGTTTTTCAAACAAAGCTGAGCTCTGACACTGGTCTTCTTGTTCATTTGATACAGAAATCTTTACTGTTCTAGATCACTCTTTGGGCCATAGAATGCTTTTTGCTTGCACTCGAAATTAATTCACTGTTAATTTAGGAATTTCTATTGTGGTGCTCAAAAGAGAATAATTTTTCCACTGCCACAAGAGACTTTTGGCAATATTTGGACACACATTTGATTGTCATGACTGAGAGGGGACTGCTTCGACAAGTAATGGATAGAAACTGGGGCAGCTGCTATATAATCTAGGTTCATAGGAAAAGTCCCAAAAACACACAAGAAAGAATGTTACAGCTCAAAATGTCAAAGTGCTGAGATTAAGATTCCCTGCATCAATAAAGAGAAAAATGAAATGAAAACCTTACGGATAAACAACAAAAACCCAAAGAAGTGTGAAACAAACAGATAATAAAAATAAAACAGGAAATATAGCAGAGAATAACAAAAAAAAATCAGAATTTTAGTAAAACCCAAAACTGAATTATTGAAAAAAGTTAATCAGATGTTTTGCAAAATTAATTTTATAACAATATTGCACAGAGAATTGCAAATAAACAATGAAAAAAAACCCATAAACATAAAAAGTAATATCTTAACTGAAAATATATGAGGACTAAATATGGGAGTATAGCAAAGTTCAAAAATGTAATATCAGCTTAAATATTCACTGCTATTCCATTATATCACCAATGAATTTAAAAAAAAACAATAAAAATTAAAAGTATATAGGAATTAATAAAGAATATACAAGACCCACATATAGAAAATGTTAAAGCTTTCTAGAAAGACATAAAATATCAGAATACATTGAGACTCTTTATTTTAAGGTGGGATAACTTAATATGCAAATTAATGTGTAATGTAATCTATAATTAATCAAGATTAGAGATTAACTTTATGACAAACTTAAAAATAAAACTTATTCCAAAAAATAAATGGCAAAATAGGTACATTGATTTTAATAAAAGAAAATAAGAAGAATTGTTTTTCAAATTAGACATGCTGCCAGTGGGTTGGATTATTACAGTAGAATGGCACTATGAAAGGATAAATGAAATTGTCAGTGGAAAAGCAGAGCGACACATATTGAAACTCAGTATAGGAGTGGCAAAAAAGCTCATTTGAGAAATGACAAATTGCTAACTAATAGTTTAAAAAACTAGCTTCTTAGGAGGAGAAAATTGTGTTAGAACTCTCTCTTATTACATGGGCAATTACTAGACAGATTTAAGTACTAAATTTGAAATGCAAAGTTTAGGACCTAAAAAAATAATAATATGTAGTAGATTATATTTATGGTAGAGCAAAACTAATTAAATAAGGTAGATTTTGAGTCCTAGTTCATTTATCTTGGAGCCTCTTTCACTCAGTAACATGTGAAGAGCATATTTCTCTGCAATTGTTGCCTGTTGCTCAACATTCAAGGTCACAGTCATTGCAATAAGCCTTAACAGAGATTTCAAGCTTTGTCTCTACTCAGCAAGGCCACGTTCTTCTCAGCAACTTGTATTCCTCTACCCCAGTCAGTAAACCCAAAAACAATGAAGTAAAAGGAATCATCTATATGCCTTCTCTCAATCCTGCAAAACCTGGCTGGAGGCTGATTGTCTCCTCTGTGATTAGCCTAGGACCTAGTGTTCCCCAAAGTGTGGTACGCGTGCCCCCAGGGGTACGGGAAGAGTTTGGTGGGGGTACACCTTGCACCAGAGTTTGGTGGGGATATGTACTGCACCGTGCTTAGCGGCGCTTAATTCTACATTTTCATGAGTACGAGGGGTACTCAGTATTACGGAAATTATAGAAGGGGTACACATATGTCAAAAGTCTGGGAAACACTGCTAGAGCACTGCCTGAAA